GGGTGGGGGTGTGGCGGTGGGCGTTGGTGTGGGTGTAGGTTTGGGTGTAAACGAATAGTACACTCACAGCCACCCCCACACCAGCACCCGCACCCGCCCACACCCACACCCACAGCCACACCCACATCAGCATCCGCACCCGCACCCGCCCACACCCACACCCACACCCACAGCCACACCCACACCAGCACCCGTACCCGCACCCGCCCAAACCCACACCCACACCCCCACCCCATCTTCTGATAAATGAAATTTTGCATAAAATAATTGAATAATCCAACTAACAAGAATAAGTCGATGTTTAGCTGTAAGTTTCTATGGTCGTATTCCATTTCCATTTGTATTTGTTATTAAAAATGATGATGATTTAATTGGATATTTTTTTTCTAATGTATATAAAAGATTCATTATATCATTAATATAATCCATTGCATATGATGGATCAATTTGTTTATCATTATTTATAGATAATGGTTCGATTTGTTCAATAATCATTTGTTCGGAAAGAATTATAATCAATTAATGAATAGATATTTTTTTGCTTATTGATGAATAATTTTCTTTATTATTCGATTCAATAAGATCTAATTTTCTAACATGTTCTGTTAATGAAGCGACAATCTTTATGAATAAATACAATTGATAAAAATTCAAGAAAAAAACGAAACTTACAACTTGTTCTAATGTTTCACCATCGCTAGTTGAATTATCTAATGAAGAACTTGAAATAATAGCAGCTAATCTATTGAATGATCGTCGTTGTTTAAATAAATTAGGATTTTTTATTATTATACTAGTACGTTTCGTAAGACCAATTGTTCTTAAATCATTTTCAGATTTAATTTGTTCAGTATTTATTATTGAAGATATTGATATTGAATTACGAATTTTTAATTGACGAGCTAATGAAGTTCTTGTTGGTCGAGGCATAAGAACTGTTGGATATTTGATTGATGGACGCATGATGGATGGAAATGAAATATGAAGTGGACGTACGATGATGATTTTCAAGGATTCAAATTATCAGCCGCGAAGAAAGAATTAACAAATAAAATAATTATTATTTAATAAAAATCAATTTTTTTTGTTTTATGTTTTTGATTATTTCAATTTTTTTAATAAAAAAAAAATCAAAATTTTTACAATGCATAAATGTTTTTTTATAACTAAATGGAGGTTCAAAGTATTACAACAAATCATATAACTACCAATGAAAAGTATTTCTAATTATTTAGCTACATTCATTTCTTTGTTTTAATACGAAGCTAGTACTGTATTATTATTTTTCTTGTGTGGACTAGGTCTTCTCGTACTATGGCTAACAAAAGTAAATATTATTTTGTAAATAAACTAATTTTATTAATATGATATATTTTTGTAAAAGAAAAAGATTTTGATCCTGATAGTGAACTTAATCAAGCATATAAAAAT